GGTGTCCACCCCTTCCCAAATAAATGCAATCAAGAAAAAAATCTTGAGTTCAAGGCCAGCCTGGTCTACAGAGTGAGTTCCAGGACAGCCAGGGCTACACAGAGAAACCCTGTCTTGAAAAACACAAAAACAAAAACAAAAAAAGAAAGAAAAAAAAGAAAAAAAATCAACTGAACATAAATTTAATTTTTTTTTCTCCTTAGAAAAACAAAACAACTCCAAACAAAATCACAAAACTGAGTGAGCATGTAGAGGAAGAGGAGGATTATAGGCATGCTGGGAATGAAAATTAAAATGGTGGGGCTGGAGAGATGGCTGCGTGGTGAAGAGCGCTGGCTGCCCTTGCAAAAGGACCTGGGTTTAATTCCCAGCATTCCCATGACCTCTCAAACATTTGTATCTCCAGTTCTAGGGGATCCACTGTCCTCTTGTGGCCTCCTTTGTTACTGCAGCATGTTTTACACAGATATATGCAGACACAATACTCTACACGTAAAATATATATATATATATATTTTAAAAAGTAAACTGGAATAGCCACTGGAAAAAAGTGTTTTCTGGTCATCCCTCATCCAGGCCACTTTCTGTTGACAAACTTGCTGTTGGACAAGCTGAAGCACTCCGCCCCTTCGCGCATCATCAACCTGTCATCCCTGGCTCATGTTGCTGGGCACATAGACTTTGATGACTTGAACTGGGAGACGAAGAAGTATGACACCAAGGCGGCCTACTGCCAGAGCAAGTTGGCTGTTGTCCTCTTCACCAAGGAGCTGAGCCGCCGGCTGCAAGGTGTGCACGTGGCGATCTTTTCCGATCTCCTTTCCTTTCTCTCTGTGTCTGGAGGTGGTGGTGAAAGGGCAAGTAGTAGCTTTAGATACTGTAGTCAAAAGGATGGCACCTGTGTTACCATGCCCCTTTCCAGTGCGGGAGGCAGACATCACTAATAGATCATGGTTCTAATGATTGCTCTTTAGTCTCAACCAGCCTGCCTTCATCAGACATGCTTATCTTAGATTGCTTCCTAAGCCTCTGGTGTTCTACGCCAGTGGTTGTGGACTGGGAGTGGTTTTGATCCCCAGGGGACATCTGTCAAGGTTTGCGGACATGCCCGTCACAAACAGGTTAGCGAGAGGTTGCTCCTGGCATCTAGTGGGTTGAATTCAGGGGTCCTCCTGGATGGTTCCCCAGTTTCTTCCAATCTAATGGAAGGAATGTAGTGTCAGGGATTAAAAAAAAAGCTTTCCCTGGCTTCTTGCTTCTCAAAAGTTGTCTGTGCCAGCCCCCTTTGGGAGATAGTCATAACGGTAGCATCTTAGATACCACTCCAGTCCCCTGCTTTAGACTCCAGAGGGAACAGTGGAGCTCAGAGATGTGGGCCTATCATGCCTCCAGGGTTGCTGTGCTTGGGGAAGCCACACAAGACAGAGCCACCTTGTAAGAGGAAGCCACTTCAGACGGGGGTTTCAGAGTACAGAGGATAATGTGGGCTCAAGTGTGGGAAACGGCCTAGAATTGGGAACACCGGGATTGTAGTGGTGGCTGCAGTAGTCACACAGGCAAGGGGCCAGCCTGGTCTTTTTCACTAGTCTTTGTGTGAGCACATTTCTGTGTGTGCATGAGCATGTGGGGTGTGTGTGTGTGTGTGTGTGTGTGTGTGAATCAGTGGACAATGTTGGGTGCCATCCACGTTTTTTTTTATTTGAGACAGCGTCTCTCCTTGGCCTGGAGCTCACCTCCTAGGCTGAGAGAGCTCCAGTGAGCCCCGGGATCTACCTGTCTCTGTCTCCTCAGCACTCACTAGGGATTAGAAGCCCACATCACCACAGACATGCGTTTTGACCAAACTCAGGACCTCCTGCTCATGTGGCAAGCTCTTTAACAGCTGAGCTCTCTTCCTACCACTCTGCAATCTCTTTTTCCCAGGCTCAGGTGTGACGGTCAATGCTCTGCACCCCGGTGTGGCCAGGACGGAGCTGGGAAGACATACAGGCATGCACAGCTCTACCTTCTCCAGCTTCACGCTTGGTGAGTCCCCTTTCAGCTTGGTGTCCCCTCACAGAGCCCTCTCCCTGTGCCCTCTGAGCTGGGGAACCTGGACTTTTCCTCAGAGACCGTCACTTCTCTTTGACTCTGTTTTTCTGTGACTAGGTCTCAGCATATATTTCTGACTGGCTTGGAACTTGTTTCGTAGACCAGACTGGCCTTGAACTCACAGAGCTCCACCTGCCTCTGCCTCCTGAGTGCTGGGATTAAATAAATGTGCCATCACGTCTGGCAATTTTTTTCCCTCATCATGGCCTTATGTAGACTAGGCTGGACTTGAGCTCACTATGTAGGTGAGGCTCGTCTTAAACTTCTGATCCTCTCATCTTCTGAGTGCTGGGATTGCAGGTGTGAGCCAATATGCCTGCTGCCGGCTCTGCCTCTTTGTGCTCTTTCCCATGTCTTCCTGGGGAAGAAGATGGGTCATTTTTCTATGTGGTTCTGGCCTCAGATCAACAGAAAACAGGCTAGAGACCCACTGATAAATAAGAAAACTGTTTTGGTAGAGAAGGAGTGGATGGGGCCGGGTGGTTGAAGGGAGTGGAGGGACGGAACAGGAGGAGGGGAGGAAGGGGAAACTGGTTGGTATGTAAAATAAGTGAAAAAAACAAATAAACAACAAACAAACAAACAACCGTCTTGCACTGGAGGCCTAGGCCCTGCTGCAAATGCTATGACAGACTTTGAAGATCCCCATGGAAGGTCTCACCCTCCCTGGGGAGCAGAAAGGGGTTGGAATAGGGGGTTGGTGAGGGGCAGGGGAGGAGGGGAGGGAGCGGGAACTGAGATTGACATGTAAAACAAGCTCTAATTCAAATAAAAGAAAGAAAACGTCTTGGAGAAAATGCATTGAGCTGACTCCTAGAGTCAGGCTGTGCACAGGGTAGCCCCAGCTTCATTCAAAACTAAGTCACCCAGGGAGACACATCCCCCGGTTTTAATGGCATCTTGCTGTGTAGACCAGGTTGTCCAGGAGCTTGTCATCCTCCTGCCTCTGCCCCCTGAGTGCTAGGATCACAGATACTCCTCAGCATTGCTGTGCATTGCTTGGACTTCCAGTTGCCTTATCTGCATGGTGAGGTCCACGATAACCCTACGCTCACAGCCATTGGGAAGATGAGGTGAGCCTGCCCAGGCCTGCGCAGTGCCTGGCCAAGAATGTAGTTTGCCCCACAGCCAAACATTAGGTGGAGAGAGCCTAAATGGGAGGTCTCCGTCGAGTCCCCCTTCCCTCCTTGGAGCTCAGGGAACCCCACAGAAGAGGGGGAGGAAGAATTGTAGCAGCCAGAGGGTCGAGGCCACCAGGAGAATAGGCCTCATAGAATCAACTGAGCAGGGCTCCTAGGGGCTCACACAGACTGAAGCAGCAACCACAGGGCCTTATGGGTCTGCGCTGGGCGCTCTGCATTGTGTTAAGATTGTTAGCTTTATTTTTGGGGACTCCTAACAATAGGAGGTGGCGGGGGTGTCTCTGACTATTTTGTCTGCTCTTGGGACCCTTTTCCTTCTACTAAGTTGCCTCGTCCAGCATTGATGTGAGGGTTTGTGCCTAATCTTACTGCATCTTATTGTGTGGTGTCCAGTGGTTATCCCTGGAGGCCTGCTCTTTTCTGAAGGGAAACGGAGGAGCACTGGGTCTGGGGGGCGAGAGTGTTGGGGGGGCTCTGGGAGGAGTAGAGGGGAAACTGTGGCAGGATGTATTGTATGAGAGAGGACTTAAAAAGAATAAGAATGCAGTCTGAGTCACTAGAGCATTATAACTGGTATTTATTATCCCTGAGAATCATTCAGTGGGCATGTATCAAGAATTACCTTGACACGAGAGTACAGTTTGGTAATGAGGTCTGGAGATGTAGCTCAGTTGGCAGACTGCTCGGCTAGCATGCCACGAAGCTCTGGGTTTGATCCCCGGCACCACATAAAATCAAGCATCATGATATATGCTGTCCAGTACTCGAGAGGTGGAGGCAGGAGGATCAGAAGTTTAAGAGCATCTTTGTCTGTATGGTGAGTTCAGGGCCAGCCTGGGCTACATGTGCCCCTGTCTGAGAAGGAAGAAGATTATTTTCAGGAAGGATAGAATAAGGAAAAGCTTGCTTTCACTTTTCTGGCAGCCTCCAGGGAGGATTCTGTAGGAGACAGCTTTTGGATTTATCTCTGTTTGGAGGGATTTGGAGGGATGTTGCCAGGGAAGGGGCCCTTAGAGGGAACAGCAAGGACAACGGCCTGGAAGTGGGCTCCATGGGACTTCAGGAGCCCAAACCCAGCTTCCAGCCTTGGGTTTTGGGTTCCCTGAAGGTAGAGCAGGGAATTTTTTTTTTTCTTTTTTCTTTTGACTGATTGTTCTGTGGTTGATTGTAGGGCCCTTCTTCTGGCTGCTGTTCAAGAGTCCCCAGTTGGCGGCCCAGCCCAGCACATACCTGGCGGTGGCAGAGGAACTAGAGAGTGTTTCTGGAAAGTACTTTGATGGACTCAGAGAGAAGGCTCCATCTCCTGAGGCTGAAGATGAGGAAGTAGCCCGGAGGCTTTGGGCTGAAAGTGCCCACTTGGTGGGCTTGGACATGGCTCATGAGTCCCCTGGAAGAGGACATTCCCTCCCCAGATAACCTTCAAAGATCCAGATGGAGCTGAATTACTAAGGCTGCTGGCTGCCATGCCCTCTTCATCCTTTGGTGGTGGTGTTGACACTGTTAATGATCATGGCTGCTGACTGCCATGCCCTAATCATCCTCTAGGGGCAGTGTTAGCATTGTTGGCATTGTAGATTCTCAAGACCATGGCTGCTGGCTGCCTTGCTCTCATTTTCTCTAGGTGGCAATGTTGGCCCTAGCTTTTATTGTTAGCTGGCCACATTCAATTTGACCGCAGCTGAGCACTGACTGGGGGTGTGTGGTGGTGGCAGGTATAATGTACTCTATTGCTTACTGGGGAGCTGGTCTGTCAGGTGTCTCCCTTGGGAGTGGTTTTGGGCAGTGTCCTAAGACAGTGGTCAGCTTCGGTGTTGAAGAGCGGGTAATCAGACAGATCTGGCCAGTCATAGTTCTTTGTGGGCCTTTGCACACTTCTGTCTCCTCTCTGAGACTTTGTTGTTTCAAAAGCAACTTGGAGGACAAGGGCTTACTTTAGCTTACAGGTTATATATAGTCTCTCATGGAGGAGGGAAGCCGAGGCAGGAACTCAAGGCAAGAGCTCGAAGCAGATACCAGTGGAGGTTTGCTCCCTGGCCTACGTTCAGATACCTTTCTTTTATTTTTATCATTGTTAGTTTTTACAGAGAGGGTCTTTACTCTGTAACTCTGCCTTTCCTGGAACCAGGCTGGTCTTGAACTCACAGAGATCTGCCCGCTGGGATTAAAGGCATGTGTCACCATGCCCAGGCCAGGTTCCAGCCCAGTCCTACCTGCCCAGGGATGGCACCGCCCACAGTGGACTTGTCCCTTCTACATCAATTAACAATCAAGAAAGTGTCCCACGGACATTCCCAAAGGACAATCTGTTCCAAGCAATTCTTTGGTTGGGGATCAGTCAGTCCCTCGAGGTTCTAGGTATGTCAAGTTGATAACCAAACAAACCAGGGCAGCTCTTTTTTTCTTTTCTTTTTCTCTTTTTAAAAATTTAAATTAGAAACAAGCTTGTTTTACATGTCAATCCCAGT